GGAGGAGGCGGCGGCGGCAGCACCGGGGCATCGCACGGCCCGGGTCCTCCGGCAGCCCAGGCTTTGGCCCGGCCCGCTCCGAGCTTGGCTGGGGGCGGAGTCGAGCTGCTCTGCGACAACTAAACGCTTGGTCCAGAGCGGCCAGCTCTCGGGGCTGCTGCCTCCCTGCTGCGCTGGGCAGTGCCCCCGGGAGTCGGCTGGCTCCAGTGCCAGCGGCGGGTCCCGAGCGATCTGCTGCCCACCGAGTCCCCAGTCTGCAGCCCGGGCTGCAGCATGGGAGCGAAGGGAAGGGTGCAGGCGGCACCCTTGCCCCGATCCCTTGTGGGTGCTGGTGACGGCCGTTCTGCCCCTCTGCTGTCAGGGTTGCTGGGTGTACCCACGCGTGCCTGCGTCCGCCGCTTGTTCTGGCGGGGTATTGTGCTAAGCAGCCTTAGCCAGGGCCAGCGTCAGATGGCAGACAGACCCAGGGTGCTGCAGGGAGTGGCGGTGGCAGTTGCTGTACAGCCCTCTCTGCTCCAAGGCCGTCACGCCCCACAGCACTGGAACATGGGGACAGGGTGCTCCGTGCTTGGGAGGCATGTGGGTGGGGGGGATAAGGCTGGTGTTGTAAGCCGGTTCCCCTCCCCCCATCTTCTTGCTGGACTGGAGCGTGTCCTGGCTGAGCTGTGTAAGGTGGTTGCAGTGCTAAGTCAGACTGTGCCTTGCCCTAGAGGTGGCTGCATTTTAGTGATAGCAGCAGCACAATCTCTTGCGCGCACACGTGCGCTGCAGGGCATGTTGGAGCCCCCAGGCACTGCCTGAGAGCAGGATGGAGCTGTGAGCTGAGCAGCATCAAGCCCTTGGCCAGGTTGCAAGTGCTGCTGATGCCAGGGCTGTGGCCTGGCGCTCCGCAAGAGAGGCATTTATCTAGCCTAGCTGCTCCCCTTCCTGCACAGGGCTCCAGGGAATGTAGCCAGCGCCTACTCTGAAAGGGCCTTTTGTGACTCCAGGCTCACTGCAGCTGAAGAGGCTGAATTGGGCTTTGCACCGCTACCGTGCACGTTGGGAGCGGGAGTAAGACCACTTCCACTGCTGAGCAAACACTGGGACCACAGTCCTGTGAATAGCTGCCCTGCCTCAGGGCTTCTGGGAGCCTCGGCCCATCCCTTACCCAGGCAGCTGGGAGCAGGATGTGGGGAGGGAGGGTGAGCTCCTTGCTGCTCTGCAGCTGGCGTCTGTCAGGCCCGTCTCATGCCCTTCCCTTTGCCTTGCAGGTGTTCAAGGTGGAGGTGCTGTACAATGGCCGGAAACACGCCGTCGAGAAGCGCTACAGCGAGTTCCACGCCCTTCACAAACGGGTGAGGGTTGGGCCCCAAACCCACCTGCTGGGAAGAGCCAAGGGAGCTGATCAGTCCACTCCAGGCTCCA